AGGATATTGCGACCAAAATTTGAGTACGGAGGTACATTGTGACGAGGACTCTTCCGGTGTTTGCCAGAAAAATCCATTCCGGCTGCTTTCTCCATAATCGCAAAAATCTGGGGTAACCTTGTAATTATGAAACGCACTGCATAAAGCTCTGTTTTCACTAGTATTTATTCTACAGTTCGTTTCAATAAATCTTCGCCTCACGCTGTTCGATGACACAACAGAAACCTTCAGGCTTACACCAAGGGGAAAGTAAGACAATTGTAAGGAAGTCAAATGTGCAGTAAATGAATCGATCGTGTCACAACCATTTCTTCACGAAGATATGACATCAGTGCTCTAGCCGATAACAGAAACATCGTGGCTAGTGCAGGCTATTATCCCAATTACTGACGTTACCATATATTTTTGGTTATGCTGTGTTGAAGAAATCGGCTGAATTTTTTCGATACTTTTCGCACACTCTAATTTATTCACTGCGCTCGATTGTGGGCATGAATGTTTGAGAACTTCGCGGAAGTTCCAAATCCAAGCAAGGGTACAACTTCCCTCACTTCATGCAATGAATATAATTCCGTTTCTGCTCCGAACAGGACGTTCCTTGATTATAGACTGTTCCCTTCGGATTACGCATAAGTCCTTATATTGACAGAAGTCTTACGAGTTGAATGGCAGTTTGACAAAAAAAACTTACAGCCTGTCTGGAAATAACCCTATTCAACTGGCGAGCTAATCAAGTGCATTTTGCCGTTAGGCTTTTGGCAAAATAATCCTCAGGAATACGACCATAGCAGTATGCTTTGAATTTTTTTTTCAACAAGTATCAACAATTTACAGTTATATGTATCATCATTGTCGACAACATGCCGCCATTTATCAGACAGCTTTAAATCCCGCTTGCATAGAATTCATGTTTCGAGGAGAATAGTTCACCGTTGCACGTTCCGAGTTGGTTCACATCACCAAACTTCTGACTATTCAAATTGTTCGATAGCAATACGAACGGGTGATAATCTCTTGGAACCAGATCTGGTACACTATGGGTTGTTCAGAACATGACATCTCGAGCATTAAACGCCACAGTGGGATTTGACAACAACTCGGAGAACGATCCTTTTCGAAATCCACCAAGGCGTCGCCATCTTACGATGAAGCTCTCGTATGCAGAGTAGAAACTCCATGATCTCTAAGCCACTGACGCCTTCTCCTGTGGCTTACATAGAGAACTCACTTCTCGTCGCCGGTGATTAAGTCCTTCAGCCATGCGAAGATACGTCGTTAAGTACGTCATCCAATCCTGGCATGCATCTCTTGTCAGTGGAGCTGTTGACCACTTAGCTTATGAGAAATACATATAAGTCATTTAGACGTAACTGCACATTTGCATCGTCTCGGATAGACTTGGAGATACGGCGTATGCATAGTCCTGTGTCAGTACTTCAATTGGAATCCTCTATAACCAGCTCCAAAAGAAGTTTGTTCTTCAGCTCGGCAGGTTTAATAGATCGTGGTTATTTGGTCAGGTCCAAGTGATCATTTTTCGACTTGTGATTCCAATTTGTTGCTGTGCTATAAGGACCAGTTGAGGGTACCATCGCAACACACGTTCCTTGTCGCATGATTTACATTCACGTTTCTTCTGAACTCATGGAGCAGAAGCAGTCCAACCTGCTTTTAGTCGAGACTGATTTTTTCAGCCATAACTGCTGCGAAACGCTACGGCAGAGCAATCCTCGAAGGTTTTCGACATGGAAACAAAAAGGCGCAAATTTTGTTCACTAATCTTAAGCAAATATATGGATTCTAATCGCTCCCACAGTTTCCCTCATTATACATTCTGAAAACCAGTCTGTTTTTCAGTCATTGAAGGGCGCGTTTTATTGGAATTAAGCTCTTTACTCAGAAAATCCTAGGCCCGTGGCCACAGATGGGACCATTATAGAAATCGAATTACCCTCGCGCCAGATAGCGATCGCCTTCCATCTTCCAACATAACACATCGACTTCAACCGGTTTTATTAAACATGTATTAAGCAGCTCATAAATGTGATATTCTAGCGGGTTAAAACAGGAGGAAGTACTTGTGAGAACGAAAGAAGTTTTTAGAATTCGTGCGTTCAAATAAAATGCGAAACAAAAAAACGGAACTTTTCAGAGGGTATGAGCATACAGATTGTGGTTCGGCTCTATCATCACTACCATACAGAATATGAACTCGGCCACGTAAACTTTTGACACATCATGAAATCTTCAAACAAATGAAAATGATATGGCAACACTACACTCTCCAAGTTTTCCTACATTATACTTTTGAACCCCCAAAACACATAAATAAACGGAACGCCGGAATAATTCACTCTGACCGGTTCAAATCACCCTTTGCGTTTCAAACAACCTATGACTAATCCGCGTTTAATTCCCACAGTGGCGTGAGGATTACTGCCGTCGGAACCAATATTTGCACTCAGGAAAGGAGAAGCTGCCTCATAACGAACCAATGACCATCGTTGAAATGACGGAAATGAGAAAATTGTAAAAACGCCTGAATGACTGGAGGGTTTCCGGCTGCATACAGTCTCCTAGAGCCCGTACAAAGATCGTGGTTGTACGCCTGAAGTTGACATCAGTAGTTACACATTAAATTGAGCTTGCCGATCAAAACCAGTCATGCATGCGCAACATACATCCGAGGTCCTCAACAGTGAAGTACAAAAATGAACAGCTTGAAAATAGGCGAAGGATTCGGACGTAGAATTCGATCTATACAGCAGAGCACACAAAGCGTAATTAAGCCAAGTCTCTCAGAATTTCAATTTTCGACAACAACAACAGGAAAAAAATTACAGAAGCTTGCCTACACACCACATTAAGAACCATTATCAATTGGAACGTCGTGCAAAATCCTAGTCATTCACACAAACCATATATCGAAAAACTGATTTGCTGTACAAACAATCACGGATTCCTATGACGCTGTGAAGTGGAAGGAGGTGGGGCAAAGGATCATAAGGACGAATACAGTGCATTTCAATGAGGCAAGTCCAAATCATAGAATCTTAACTCATGCTTGTGAAACTCATCACAAGTGATTTCTAGATATCAAACAATCATCATTAAACATTCAAGTCATACGTTGTAGTCAATGAAAAAAAGTGGAACTCAATGGGAGGTCCCTCCCCTACACTATACGACGAGGCTTACTGATATAAGATAAACTTGAAGTCTCCCTCTATAATATATGAATCCACTACAACAATTACAGAAGTAACGTAGACTACACTGAATGGAACTCGCTATTCTGTGTTTCGAAACATACAGTTGCATACATACTGCATGATGCTAGATGCTGAGTAGTAGATGAGAGAAGCTAATCTGGAGGGCCAAGTGTTGCAGCATTTTGTACAGAGTTGCCAGTTTCCACTTTGCTAAATACACTTCAGTCTTCCTTGTTTCTCATCTCTTCCTACAGCGCGTGTGCAGGAAGACGTCACTGTTTTCTGCACATTGGATTTCTCACCGCGATTCTTTTCAACTTCTCGTTGGACTACGTAGAACACAAGGGACAACCCGGGCGACTATCCGTTCTTGAACGGTCACGACCACAACGAGCGCATGCCGGAGCGATCGCATCGTCCAACTGAAATGTACCCAACATAAAACGAAACTTTGTTATGTGCACCGAAAAAAAACGTTAGGCCCTTAAAATAGGGTGCGGTTCAAAGTCGAAAGCACCTTAGGAGCAACAAGTCGCTGAAATCCCGACCGACGGCCTACCACCTCAACGTGGTGGGATGGTGGCGTTTAGGATTGTAGGCGTGTCCGATTTTTAAGTTTTGTTTATGTAACAATAATATTCCTGTTCCTTTCTGGTTTTTTAGTATTTTATCACAAGCTCTGATACAAAGCTCCGGTGCTCTTCAGTCATGCGGGGGTTCGTCTTGACCGACCTGCCGCTTTGCGTTCGAAGCTGTGATCAGAAAGACGTGCGAGGAACTGGAGGGATCTCGTCACTACCGTCAGATGTCGGCTTCTATGGTCCGAAAACTCGCTTAAATTTCCTACTGGTCGACGGAGTTTTGCGTTGGAGCCTTCATCATTTTTCAATTACCATTTATATAAATATCTATATAAAACTAAAAGTTCAACGGCAAGTCTGCATGTCTGAACGGCTAAGAGTAGGCCTCAGTTCCCTCTGATCCAGAATGGCCATAGCCACGATGGTGAAGACTCAGCACTGGCCCTGGCAAAGCAGGCGAAGAAATCTTGGGTTGCGCAGAGCGCCTTGGATGTTGGACTATGACAGCACTCCCTCCATGCGACAGAGACTGTTCCCTACTCTACACCTACAACGCGAGAACAGTCTCTTCCAATGCCGCTCTCCATGGGCTCCACGATGCGGCTACTCACATTAAATATCATGTGATTGCGTTGCAAGAACCCAAGAGCAGGAGAACCGACGTGCGACGAATGAACGATGGAACCCTCATCATTCGTGGTGAAAAGATTCGTTCGCGAAAAGTCGACGACGTTAGTTCCGTCGTACACCCGTCTGTCGTCCATCTCGTCGATTCTCACGAGGTCCTGTCTCCTCGCTTCGCCATCCTACGCCTACGACATGCGCACCTGAAAACAGTCTCTACTGTCATCAACTGCTACTAACCACCCTCTACAGTAGAGCTCAATGCGTTTCACGACCAACGTGAGGAGATCATACATAAGGAAAAATTCGTCCTTCTACAAATTCGTCGTTGGAGATTTCAACGCTAGGCTTGGCAAACCACAAGGGGAGGAGTTCAAGGCTGGAAACTTTGGAATGGGGGACAGGACCGAGGATGAAAACCGTCTTGGTGGGATTCTGCCCGCGACTCGAATCCTCCATGGAAGCTTCTTTTTTCAGAAGAAGGAACATTGCCGCTGGACCTGGGAGTCTCCAAATGGTACAACTCATGCTGAACTCGACCACATATTAACAAACAGAAAGTGGTGCTTACTAGATGTTGTTGTGGTACCATCTTTTTGCTGTGGTTCCGATCATCGACTCCTTCGCGCTAAGATCAGATTCAGTCACAAGCTGGAAAAGATCTCTCAACATCGCGCAAAGACTTCGAAGCATGCTGTATACGACAGAGTTATTCTGAATGACGGCTTGCCCCGATATGACTGGCAGGTCCTGGATGACCCAACCGAAGACTACGACGCGCTGGCTCAGGGTCTCCTCACATGCGCTGAACAGGCTAAGCTTCCGCGAGTGGATACCTCCGCGCGCATTTCATATGCGACGAAGGATCTTCTCAGAACAAGAAGAAACTTGAGGCCTGTCCAGAACGCCAGACATCTCGAAAGGCTGCAAGCGAATATCAACTGCAGACAAGCAGTGCGGCGAGACCTTCAGCTATACAGGGACAGGAGACCACTGGAGGCAGCCTTGAGCAGAACTAGTCTGAGAAAATGCCATCGGGATCTTTAGGACCACAGTATTCCACTTTCGTGTTCAAAGAAGGAAGACGGAACACTCACAACATCGAAATTTGAGAAGGGCTGCGGACCAACCAAACAAAGACACAGTTCATGAAGAATGCTTGGGCCAATGAAAGTCAAATTAAGACCGATCACCCATCAAGGAAGCCTCGTCATACGTTTATTTCGGGCGTTCCACGAATATGGCCAGCGACATGAGGGAAGAACTGGTGAGACGGCAGAAAGCAGTGTGGGCAGCCTTCGGACCTCTGAAAGAGGTCACCAACCATCTGGCTGACCCGGAATGTCGCGCTAACCTGTTCGATTCCACAGTTCTTCCTGCGCTCTGTTACGGGTCAGAGACTTGGATGACCAGCGCATCCTCGTCAAGGGCGTTGAGCACAAGTCACAGTGTTCGAGCCATGTTTTCTGAGGTTCAACCGGCTCACTCAATATCGAGCCGGACTCCGCAGCTCCGATATGCGCAGGATGTCTCGGCTCTGCGATCCGATGGAATACATGAAAAACGCAAAGTTTCAAAGGGCTGGTCATATAATGAGAGGAGATGACAGATGGACAAGCAGAACAGTCGAGTGGGCCCCCATGGGATCTTCACGTTCTAAGGGTAGGCCTGCTGCGACATGGGGGGAAGTGCTTGTCGATCACGTGAAACAGCTGCGACAGCAGCCGAAGACTCCTCACATCGCCACCCTCGTCGAATCTTGAGTCTACTGTGGATGGCGATCGTGAAAGACAAAAGCGAATGGTTTTTTGCTGGTGCTCGCAGATGAGTGAAGACGAGCCGTATAAGTATAAGTATAAGTAAGTCGCTGTAATACGATTGAAGGGTTTTTCTATATATCATAGTCGTCGGCGCGTCGAGACTAGCTCTTGTAGTGTCCACAGAATATGTTGAGACTCTTCGACTTCAACGTTGAATAATTTGAAATTTCGGCACGAGTGCTCGATGTCGCTGACGTGATCATGCAATTTTGACGTGCTGACGGCAATGAGAGCGCCTATCTACGTCACGACGAAAGCACCTAGGATATGATAACAGATATGCTTTCATTCGCAACCCTCTCGCGGAACTAAGAACAGCGCATTTGCAGAATGTCCACAAATGTTTACCTATTATGCCTAAATCTAAAGAATACGTATAATGGATTGCTCGCTTTTGTAGCAGCTTCGCCAAAGAATTAAAAGGACTTGCACAGCTTTGTTCCATTCATCCCCTTCGCCACAAAAAGCTCTGTATGGGCTTCACCGGAAGAATGTTCTCTCTCAGAAGAAGTCTCAATTTCTTATGTGATTAGCGAAATCTGGTTCACCTATTACTGGCGTCGAGTCAGTTCCAACTTGAACGGAAGGTTTTTAGCAACTAGATTGGCAGAGAAACAAACAAGCAACGAGAGACCATGTTCTTTCGAGGAAACAGTGCAGGCAGTTCAAATCGCTTTCACGAGAGATCAAAATATATCATACCTCCGGTCCCACGTCACAATGATATAAATTGTATCGCATTCAAGGAGTTGAATTTTACATATTGTATATAACCTGTATCGAATGCGTGACGAGTAGAGGGTATACTGTTTAAAGCATATTACATTCACTTAATAAGTAAAAGTTAGGCTGCTCTGTTTTCATGACAAATATCTATGGACACCGTGTATAACACAACTAAATGTACTTTAATAATCTTGGATGTTGTAGAAAACAACAAAACTCGAAAAGTGATCGCCACAGGCGAATAAATACTCACAACAAATATATTATGAGGCTGACTGCTTTGTAGAGCTGCCATAAGTACTCCTTCGCTAAATTCATTCGTCGGGGCTAGCTGAGACGTGACAATACCTCCTAATGACAAGCCGCTGCTCGCCAAGTGTATTTTGACCGACTCCAGTTGTTGCATGAGCTGAATTAAGACTTTCTCCACGGATATTTTTACACTCATTTCAAATATTGCTTAAGCATTAACATTTGCTGAAATTACTCAGAATTTATTACTGTATCTCTCCCAGTTGATTTATGATAAAATGGGAATTGACACGACAACTAAAATGCTTACTACAGCGACATGAGAGGAGAAAATGAAGGAAACGGAAACTATCAAATACCCATTCTAAAATAGTGCCATCTCTAAACTTCATCAAGACTTGTTGTCGTTATTATACTTTTCGAAGCGCTTGACTTTTTACTTTTATTTGGTTAGCTTTCGGCACCTGACGCCTACGTCAGACCTTAATTATTTACAACGTATTGCTGCATGGGCGGAGGTGGTGTAGTGGTAAGTGGCGCACTATGTCATACGCACGGTCACGGGGTTCAAATCCCGGTTCCATATCCGCCTAGGCTAACCAAGCCTTCCATCCCTCCGGGGTCAGTTAATTGGTACGGGACTCGTCTGGGAGTATAAAAGCGCTGATTTGTACATCAGCTGGCCACCGCAAGTCATTATATAGGCTACATGCGCACTCATTACGCCACTAAGATTCTGAATGAAAGTTATGTGCGGGGGCGCATCTCTCGGACGGGATTGATTGACGCCAAAAGACTACCTTTATCCTTTGTATAGCTGCATACAATCAATTAACTATCAGTGACAACACAGAACACATCTAATCGTACAAGTCGACCGGAACTATTAAGGATGCAGGGGAATGGTCCGCGGGGAACGCAAAGGGAAAATGGACGCCGCTCTTGTCCTGAGGCGACCAAGTGTTATCACACAATCAGTCTCATTAGGTCACGCAGCTCCTCTTTCGCACTGATTTCCAGCTTGATGCGGTATAGTTCCCGTGCTAACACGATCCAGTCTATAACTATGCAAAACCCACACATCGGAGGATATAGCGTTTTCTTTCTCATGCCTAAGTGCTTCGTCGAACATCTTGTTGCATTCTGGAAGCGCACATTCTTTCCGAGAACGTTCCAGCCTTCGATGTGGGGGTTTTGCAAAGATCTTTAGTAAAAGATCTTCAATACGGAACGGCAACAAGCCTCGATGAAGCTAAGAGATAGCAGTATTTCAAAACATCTCAAATTCCAGCAACGCAGAGGTAGCGGTATTTTAAAATATCTGAAATTCCTGCAGAGCCGTTTTAACATTTCACGGACATTCTTTTCTACCCTTTTACAACATGTTGCCCTCCAGCAGCTCACTGTATTTCGTAAGGCATCGGTCCAGTTCCTATACACGTGCAAGCGCGAGCGTATTTTCCCACCTTTATCGCAGATCGATTTCTGCAACTCTCACACACCAGAACAATTGGGATGTCCATTTAAGAATACTCGGCTTGGAATTAGCTCTTCTTGACGTAGGTATAGCCGAACGCCGTCGTCAAAAATCATTCCGCACTCGTGGAATAATATTTCACGAAACCGATTACGTTCGAAACCTTGCATGGAAGCCTGGCAAAGATATTCTTCAGAAACCAGAGGATATGCTCCTATTTACGAGAATATCAAAAATGCCACATTGGAAGAAAACTAAACCTTTGAGATCAGGTCGACAGTATTCTCAGCTACCACATTTTATCACAGCAAATAGTGTTCCACCAACACGTCATGTGGTTATTGGGACAAATGAAGTCGATAGTGACATCGCTGCGGTGCTCAATCTGCGACCATCATTTGTAATAAAATCGAGGGTCGACAACCGGGTACGCTTTGTGGAGTGCAACAACTTGCTTATCAATTAGGCTGGAGAACATATCGTGGACCGAAAGTACCAGCAGGCGACTTTAATGCCATTTAAAGATGAGTATATAATATTATTCCCATCTTTAGGTGAAATCGACTCAAAAATTACGCACCTCGAGCACGGTATTCAACGGTTCTATCGAAACGCGATGAATGAGCCTTACCACAGTAATTTAACCCCAACTAAACGTAGGGAGTGAAGAAAGTACCGCAAGACTACATCATTCCTTCCGTCTGCGGCCATAGCGAGTGGCGATGTATTTGTTCGATGTCGCAATCTGCCTCTGACTAAACCACTGCTGCGAGATACCCTAGCAGAAGGCGAACGCCTATCACTGCTATTCTTACTGCACCGATACCGAACGAATATGCACGTGGTCTGCTGAATCAAATCAACGAGATTTTGGTTACAGAAGCATCGGAGGCTAGCCTGCTACTCCAGCAGTTCCTCAGTAAGTTACCTTACCTATCTCTTGAAGTGATTGAATCGGAGAAAAAGGAGGGCTAAGTCGTGCTTTTGGGTGAAAAAGAGCTCCCCGCATCTCGGCGTCAGGAACACATCGAAAAGTACGTCTCGGAAACTCTGAACCTTCTGGACATTGAGGCACGACCAGTCGAGGTGTTCAGGATGGGAAGAGCCAGTGATAGAACGAGACTTGTTAATTGTGTTTTCTCCTCAAGACAATTTCTTTCCGATATCCTGGCTCGGGCTCATAATTTGCGTGCTTCTCCCGAGTTCAATAATGTTAAGATCAATGACGCCGGAGGAAAGGTCAAAAGACCAAGAGCTACGCAAAAAAGCAACCGAATTGATCACAACGGCAACCGCGTTTACGTCGTTTATCGAGGGGATATAGTTAAAGCATCCGACATTCCTTTAATAAACAGGGAGGCTAAAAAAACCTGGAGGTCTTCAACAGCAACACTGCCGTTGCGTGCTGCTAAATGCCCGAAGCTTTGTAGAAACTACATCATTTCCACCATTTTATTGCATCGTTCAGACTCGACATTGCTTTTATAACTGAGTCATGACTTAATCCAAGAATCGTTGAAGTGTGCTCAGAATGGTCAAACCCCCCCCCCCC